ACCCACATGGCGCAGCAGACCTCTCCTGTCTCCCGCGCTGCTCCCCTCAGCTGTGTATCTCAGTAGATCCACCTGTTCTGCTCCCTACTCTGTCTCTGGTGAATCCTCCTCACCCCCCAAAAAAACCTCAGGCCTGCACCCCAGCTCTTGTATGCATAAATAAATCTTTAAAAAAAGAAAAGCTGAAAAAGTGAGGTACTCCCTCCATTTCCTTTTGAGGACCTCAGCTTGTTTCCAAAGGAGGGACCTGGCAGGGGTTCCTGCGTCAGTCCTCACTGCTCACTGGCTTAATCAATCACAAATTTATCCAGAACTCAAATGGGGAGCACAATCCAACAATCCACTCTTTATTGTTCAACTGGGGGGCTGCACCCATCCTACTGTCTGATGCTTTCTAGGCAGCGAGTGAAGCAGGAAGGTCAGCTTGCACCCTGGTCCAGGAGACAGCTCCGAGACACGGGGACAGCCAGAGGCGGAGGAGACCCCCAGCCCAGAGATGGGGGAGACCCAGCCGGCTGTGAGCTGCCCACGCACAGCACCGAGTACTCAGAGACTTGGAGCAATTGAAGAGTTTCAGCTATTTTCAAATCTCACGGCTGAAGAGCAGGTCCGTGCAGCCGCTCTGCACATCCCGCCGCCCCTGCCACCCTGTAGGGAGAGCGGACAGATTCTACTCTGGGGCGCCCCTGGGAGAGACGGTCTGCACCTCTTTGCTGGAGCTGTTCTTCGGGCAAGCAGACGTAGAGCTCTGAGTTTAGAAGTGGCGAGTAGCTAGCAGATGTTCGCTGATGAAAGTTCATAGCAAATAGCCTCAGTTGAGGAAACAAATCAAGGAAAAAAGGCAGGCCAGGGAAGAGCGCAAACACGCTTCAAGGCAACGCAGGGATGTGCTAGAAACCCGGCTCCCTGTCCTGGAAGGGAAGGGAGCTGGCTCCTGGCTCTGCGCTGCGCCCCCCGGCCCAGCGTGCACAGGCGGCTCAGGACAGGCCGGTTGCTGAAAAATTTCTACTTAATGGAAAATTTCTAGAAATTGTTACTGAGTCATAAAAATGTTCTCATATCTGCTTTTATCTCTTAAGTCATCCAAAGGCCAGATGTTGAGAAACTGGGGTGAAGCCTTTCCTTTTGCTCCCAACAATTGGCAGCCTAGAATACAGTTTAATTAAATAATTGCTTTGGACTATCTTGGGTATAATTAATCACTTAGCTCTGGAGATTGCTGGAAACAACAGTGGACACGAATTTCAAGGTTCAGGGTTTCTGAGATGTAAAAGTTTGATGTTCTCACAGCCCTGCCTGGCCCCAAGCTAGATAAGCGAATGCAATGGAAACGGAATGTCATAAATATTAAGCTGCAAACTTGGAGCTGGAAGTATCTCGGAGCATGGGATGTAAATCTAGCAGATATTGAATGCGGAGTTCTTTTCCCCATGGAGGGGTGGGGGAGATGGAAACAGCTGATACCTTTTTTAGGGGAGATTAGGAGCATGAGGGGACACTGGGCCAGCCGCCACGGGAGGGTGAGGCCAAGGTCCGCGCTTGATTTGGGTGTTGTGAGTGTGGGGCAGAAAAGAAGGGGCGGTCGGGGTGATGCGGACCAGCCCTTACGCCCCCTTCCTAGGACCCAGGCTCTGGGCCATCACGGTTACTGTCCAAGGATCCTCACACAGCTGCTGCTCTGGCCACGTCCCCACGGTCAAGAGCTCACAGATAACGCGATCAGAGCTGGCACCCGATCTGGACCCACGTATCCAAGTCCTGTGCTTTCCAACCCCAAGCTGTCCCGCCTCCTCCCAGTGCTGGTTTGGGGGGATGTGGGCCCCAGAACAGGGACCAGCGAGCGTGATGGAGGCGGGAGTCGAAAGCGAACAGAGATCAACTGCGGCTTTGAAACGGGCAGCCCGACGCTCCAGTGGAAACCCCTCCTGCCATCCCTGTGGCGGAAGTGAGGAGGCAGCTACGGGAATTTGAAGTCGATTTTGTAAGTTTTCAAAGTGAAAACTCAGGCGGCCTGCGCATCCTCAGCATCAGCGTGTGTCCTTTTTAAAATTCATTTTAAATCTCTGAAGCCACGACGTGTCAGGCAAGGTCGGGCCTGCACGTGGTTGTTCTTATTACGATTTTCCTCACTGCTCCCGGGCAAGCGGGTCATGGCACATGCAATTCGCTACCTGTAATAAGCTGGTGATTAGAAAACAGGAATTATCTTGGCTAGTTCTGTGTTCAATTGCTAATTGCATTTTCTCGGAAAGAGACTTTTGGTCCAATATCGTGCTGTCAATCATAAGTTGGAAATGCAGTTGGCATGAAATTTAATTTCAGTCCTTTTTTGGAGTAAAAGTAATATCCCACCTCCTATATGCTCGACACACAGTGATGGCAGCAAAATTAGCTCACACAGAAGCACCGCGAGGCTTATTTTCAATAAGTGATTTCCATGTGAAACACTCCCATGTAATCAAAACAAACAGTCAGGACCCCCTCCTGTGCGTGAGGCGCCGGGCAGCTCCGGGAAGACACGAGGTGACATGTGCATCATTCCCCCGTGGCTACGTGATTCATAGCCAGGGAGGGGAGGCAGGGAACAGAGCTCAGATGCTCCACTATTATACAAACTGTAGGAGCAGTTATGACTAGAGCATCCATGATGATGATAATGATCATAATAGTTGCAGCAACAATTCACTAAGAGACAACCCTGAATCAGGCTTCTCTTTAAAATAACGACTTCGTTGAGAGTTGATTCACATACCATTAAATTAGCCTGCGACGCTGTGGTTTTAGTACTCACTGAGTCGGGCCAACATCAATGCTGTCTACTTCCAGAACACTCTGACTACCCCAAAAGGAACCTGGTACCAGTAGCATTTAGTCCTCGCTCTCCCTGGGCCCCTGAGCCAGGCCCTCCATGTATGACTTTCTCTAACATCTGCCCCAACCCTGACAGCAGGCAGCACGAGCTCATGGTACTAACAGGAGGCTCAGGATAGACTCAAGGCCATGGTTGCAGGCTGAGTCGTGTTCCCCAGAAGGGATGCCCAAGTTCCAGGGCATGGTGCCTGTGAATGTGACCCTTGGGGAAAGGGTTTTTGCAGGACGATTAAGCTGAAGGGTCTCAAGAGGAGATCATCCTGGATTTACGGTGAGCCCGAAACTCAGTGGGGGTGTCCTTAAAAGAGACAGGAGAAGAGGACACAGGGACACAGGATGATGGTCACGTGAAGATCGAGGTGGAAACTGGAGGGGTGCAGCCACAGCCAAGGAACTACAAGAGCACCAAGGGCACCAGGAGCACCAAAAGCACCAAGAGCACCAAGGAGCATCAAGGAGCACCAAGAGAAGAGCACCAAGAGCACCAAGAGGCGTCAAGGAGCACCAAGAACACCAAGGAGCACCAAAAGGCATCAAGGAGCACCAAGAGACATCAAGGAGCACCAGGGGGCACCAAAGAACCCCTGGAAGGCAGGAGAGATGCCCAAAATGGAGTTCCCCTTGTAACAGGGTGGTCCCCAGGAAAGGGGGAGGTTCCCTGCCCCACCCAAGGGAGGGCGGAGCTGAGCAGGAAGAGGAGAAGCTGCAGAAGAGACTGAGGAAGGAAGCAGGATGGAGCCAGGAGACCTGGAGGAGGCGCATGGAGCGGAGAGACACGTGAAGAAACTGCGCTTGTCTTTTGGTCGTGGACTGGGTGACACAGATGTGGGTGAGACCCGTGGGGAGGTGACCATGGCAGCTTTTATCTTGATGTTGATTTTGCTCTTTTCCTTCTGGGCTTGTCCGGTTGTTTGTGACCCTTTTCTGTGGGTCCCCACTGGAAGATGCTTTAGACTCGTGGCAGGCTTTGGGGCCTTGCTCTGGGCCGATCCCATATGGATGGAGTTTTACCCACGAGGGGACGGGTCACTTTGGGTGCTTCATTTAGAAACTAGACTCTTTGCCTTACCTGTATTGTTTCCTAGTTTTATTAAAGTTCCTTCCCATTAAAGTCTCCTATGTTTTGTGTTGATGCGGCGGATGGCAGAACCCATGTAGAATAGGCAGGTTTGCGGGGTTTGGGCTGCCCCTCTCCCTGTCCTATAACACCCTCAGCCTCCAGCCCACAGAGCCCTTGATCACAGACTCCTGGCCTCCAGAACTGTGGGAGAATGGTTTCCTGTGCTTTAAGCTGCCCCGTTGGCGCTTGTCTGTCCCGGCAGCCCAGGACACTGACCCGGCCACATAGCTGGCCCGCAGCGGAGCCGAGGGTCCCCACGTTCACTGGCTCCCAGCCCCTTCCTGTCCCACCCACGCGGGTGGTCAGCCCTCTCCACGGGAGGCCACAGCCAGCTTCCAAAGCGCAGCGCCAGAGCTGCCGTCGGCCCAGTGGTCAGCTCGACATTGACCCAGGGAGGGTCTGGGTGGGGCCGGGGGCAGGAAGGGAGTTTTGGAGGACAGAGAGGAGTTGGAGAGGTGGGGAGCATGGGGGTCAGGTGGGGGGCCTTGCAGGGGCAGCAGTGCAGGCCAGAGAGAAGCCAAAGGGGCACAGAGTGTGCACGGGGCAGGTGAGGACACACGCAGGTGGGCAGTGGGAACCGCCGCAGGAAGGGGGCACTGGGCGTGGGGGACAGTGAGTGAGGGTGAGGTTCTGGGGGCTCCATTCTCTGCCATTCTCTTCGGCTTAGGCCTCGGGTCCCACTGGCGGTCTCGGGGCTCACTGTCCTCCATGCTCTTCATGCCTCGCCCATACCCGCCGCCTTCTCTCCTCCTCCCTCAGCCCTCCCGGGAGACCCCTATCAAATTCCCCTGTTCTGTGGCCGTCACTGCTGGCGGCCGCCCCGCTGGCCTCGTGATGCCGGCTGCTGCAGGGGCAGGGCTGTGCCTTCTGTCTGTGCACCCACCCGAGGGTGCTCCCGGGCAGCCCCCGGTCAGAATGACCTTCTAGGCCAATGTGCAACCTTGAGTTCTGAGTGAGTCGGTCTTCCTTGCGATCCCTGGCCTCAGGGCCCTTGCTCGTACCTGCCGCAGCTCTGTGCACTAGAGAGCGCCATGAAAGGCTGCCACGGCCCTGACGCATGCTGTCGCTGCAGCCCCGCCGTCGCGGGGGCGCCATCACGGCAGTGAGCACCGGAGGGGGTGCTCGGCGCACATTTGGGGATGCAGCGGCACAGCTGTGCGTGGATGAGGCTTCTACTGTGGTCACCGCAGGCCGTGGTGGCCCATGCCGGAGTGAGGATGTGCCCGACCAGCCCTTGGAAACGCCGCCCCCGATGAGCGAGGCGGTGCGGAGGGGAGGGGAGGGTGGAGGCAGGAAGCTCAGGCGGAGGCCAGTGAGGGTGGCCCCAGGGTGGTGTCCAGGGAACGTGAAAGGAGAGACAAAGACAAGGGGTGTGGTCAGGGGAGCGCACGGGTGGGGAGGTGAGTGCATAAGGAGGAGCCCAGAGACCCCCAGGGTCCTCGCTCGGGAGCCTGAAATGGGGGGACCTGGTCAAGAGGTCAGCGTGGGGGGCCAGAAGAGCTGGGATTGGGACATTTCAAATTTTGAGCAAGTGAAGAGACTGGGGAGGGTTGCAAGGCTTGGCCTTGTGAGTCCCTCAGGGTGGAGGTCAGTGGAAGGTTGAAGGGGGCACAGACGGGCGCTGAACCCAGCAGCAGCTCCCCCGACGGGTGTTTACACAGGAAGCCCACGTGACCACCCGCCTGGGAGGAAGCTGCACGGAGCAGGGAGCAAGGTGGAGCCCCGCCAGACAGAGGCTGCGGACCAGAGGTCACAGAGCAGACATCAAGGTCAAGTTTTCATTAAGGTTTTACCTCCACTCCCAGCTAATATCATATCTTCCTTAATATGATCACACACTTTAAGGATTTTTTTTTTAGCACTTAAACTGGCTGGGATTAGGCTTCATTGACCCCGTGATGGCTTGGGGAGAGCACATCATCCCACCCAATGCTCTGCTGGCCACACGCAGGCTCCAGGCAGTGCCAAGTGGGCACAGGGCCTGCCTGCTGGGGCTCGGGGTCCAGCGGACAGCAACGCGGCAAGGGCATCGCCTTGTGCCGACTTTCCTGTCTCTAGACCTCTGTGCTGGGGCCATTTAAGGTGAGCTGAGATCAGGAAAAGCTAAACCACCTGGGTCAGCAAGGACCGGGGTCGCTGGAGGTGCAGGAACAGGCTCACTCCGGGCGCCCACTGCCCGTCTTCTCTCCCTTCTAAGACGCTTTTCTCTGGTACTTTCTCAGCTGAGATTTCTGGTTGGATTTCTTCAGCTGGGTCAATCAAAATTGTTAAGATGTAAATAATGAAAGTGCATCCACGCTGGCCTTTTTGCTTTTTAAACATGGTTGCGTTTGCCCTGATGGCTAAATTGGGGATGATTATGTTCATTATTTCTGATTCCACGGACCACAGCACTGATCAATTCTGCCCTTGGAGAAATAAGTGGACTGACTGTTTTCTATTGTGTGGGAGGGAGAAATGTCAAGGCAGCTTGTGTTATGGTTGTTTCCACGATCTAAGACCCGGTGCAGTAAACTTCATCACACAGCTAAAATCAATGCACGGCTTTGGAATGATAATGTGTAGCTTCTTCAGGTACCGAACAGCCTCCCGTCTGCACAGTTTTATTTAATGGACTCTAAAAGGCCAGTGCTGAGAGTCCAGGGAATGTGCCAGAATGTCCCCCAACCTGAAGGTCCTACAAGAGGGGAGCTGGGAGCTGAGGCAGGGGTGATGGTCAAGGGTGAACGGGGCGAGGATGCGCCCCCAGACACCCCGGGATGCCCACGTGCAGGGGTGACACACGAAGCAATGGAGGGTGCAGATGTAACAGAGAGGAACCTGGCACTGATGAGGTGCTACGGGGGGCTGTGCATCTTGGGGAGACCCTGATGGGAGACAAAACTAACTTAGGGCCTGACCTTTGCATCTGACCTGGTACCCTCCGCAGGAGCAGACTCCACAGTGGCCCTGGTGGTTACGACCTGGTTTCCCCCTCAGACTCCACTCCCTCCATCAGAGAACCTGTTTGCTACGAACCCCTCTGCCTGCTGGGGCCGGGAGCTTGTCTTCCCCTCAAGCTTTCAAATGAGAGAGACAGTTTGGGTCCCTCAGAGCTTCTCCTGCCTGCTGTTGGGCCCCGCCTTTCCAAGTGGCTCGCGCCTCCTCTGATTTCTCGGCACGGCTGGGCTGGGATGAACGCTTCCCTACGGCTCCTGCGCTTTCCCGTGGTTCCTAGATTTTAAAGTTTTAACATAATTTTAATCCCGACTTTCTTTCTCAAAATCTACTCAGCTTGGAGCCACCCTCGTGCATTCCCCCTTTATTTCCAGGCTCAATCGATTCCTCTGCCAGCGAGCAGTTGATGGAGCCCAGCCTTCCTCCGCTCTGGTTGTCTGCTCATAAGATCATAAAGTTGACGCCATAACCTGAGAGTGTCCCTGCGGATACGTGGTCTCCTGCCTTCCTGACAGCAGCACAGAGCTGGGAAGTCAACATTCTCAGGAGCAGCATCCTGTTCTGGGGGCGGTTCCCACCGGCTTGGTGGTCGACACCGCACGGCACCACTCAGCTTCCCGAGTCCCAGCCACAGCGTTTCACTGCCACGGCACCAAGAGCCTGCACGCCAGGCCCTGGGAGGGGGCCGCTCCCCGGTGCCGGAGACGAGAGGCGGCTGGGGTACGCGTGGGAGAGCCGTATGTGCACACACTCGGGAAAGTGGGCGTCCAGCTCTCCACTCGGGGAGACAGGCAGGTCAGGGGACAGAGCAGGCTGGGGTGTAGGTGCTGTGGCCCGAGTACTTTGACAGCAGATGCCCCCCTGCCTGGACTGTTTGCTGCATGGGAGTGAGAAGAAAACTGGGGGCCACACCCCATCTGTTGTCCCCTGAGCGGGCTGGGAGCGGGGCTGGGAGCAGAGACTCGTCATCATGAACATGCTGGTTGATCCCAGGGGCACGGACTCAACAGGTCAGACCCGTCGGGCCTTGGGGAGACGCGAGGAAACAGACCCCTCGACCTCTGACGGTGGGGGCAGAAACGAGGTGGGTGCGCGGGGAGCAGAGAGGCAGGCATTGGTGGAAGGCCGGAGGACTCATGCAGCCTGACCCGCACCTCGTCTAGACCCTGGCCCCTGCCTGGCACACCACGTAGCCGGGCAACGTCAGAGTCACACTTGGGTGTGGCCGGGCGGCCAGAGCAAAGCAGGCCTGGAGGGCGCCGGCTGTGAGCTCACCCACTTGCTCACAGATCGCGCCGGCGGAAAGGCTGAGGGAGGCTGGTGTTCTGGGAGCACACGCGCCCCGGCGGCTGCTGTGGTTTGGAGGGAGATGCCAGAGGGAGGATGGACTGGCTGGACTGGCTGCAGGCCGCTGTGGCCTGCTTTGTGCCAGGGCGGGGACCACGCCTGGCCCCCCGGTCCCATACCCACACACCCCCATGAGTGCTAAGTTGGCCCCTTGACCTTGTCTCCTAGAGGCCCTTTCAGTGCTTGCCAAGCCAGAGTCTAGTGTTAAATGTCAACATCGAGGGCCTAGAGCTGTCCCGGGAACAGCAGAGCATCACAGTGACATCGATGAAACAGTCTCCAGCAGCCCAGCACAGTGGCACCGCTAGAGGCGCAGGCGAGCTAGTGGGCAGCTGTGCTCTGGGCAGCATCCCTGCAGGCCCGCCCCGTCTCTCCCGGGAGCGGAGGCCCTGGGCTTCAGCCTCCCGGTCACTTACCTGAGGCCAGAACACGCGCTGAGGCTGACCATGGAACCCACGTGTCCTTGCACACTCCCGTGGTAGTAACAGTGACCCTGGAAGGGAGAGATTCAGTTCAGTCAGGTCTTCAGGACGTCCCGCAGTAAGCCAGGCCCTGGATCCGACCATCTGTATTTTTAGCTCAGAATTCCCTTTGGCATGAACTATTGGACCTGGAGTCTATATTCAAAGCCAAGCCCACCGTGCGCCTGCAGGAATATCTGGTCTACTTAGAGGTCATCAGGAGGGTTCAGAAGGCACCCCGGTTCCCTCCTGCCCCTGACACCTCTGAGCCCTGCGGGTGCAGAAGGTTCCGCTTGACCCAGCAGCACAAGCCCGTCGCTGTGGCCATCTTACCCTGAGGAGCCGCTCAGGGTGTTTAAGCTGGGAAATGTCAGAAAATGGGCTTAAATCTATGGCTATGAAAGCAAGTGAGGAGGAGGGAGTGCGAGGAGAGCCGGAGGCATCTCTGCGAATGGTCCAACCGAGAGCCAAAAGCCCACGGAGCAGGAAAGAAAAATAGGAAGATTTTCTCGTCCAGGACAGAATCCTGCGCCATGCCGCCCACCGCCTGTCTCTGCGACAATGTCACTGTTTGCAAAAGGAAGCCGCGGCGTGTCCGTGGTCAAGACAGAGACCTACCTGGAATCAAGGGTAATTTTATCATTGAACACGGCTACGCAGCAGCCCCAATTAAGTGGCTGAACGGCAAGAAATGACCAAGCACACACAGCTGTCCTCGGTCAAGGCCACCGAGTGCCCGCCGTGAGGGTCTGGCAGGAAGGTCAGGGTGCTCGGCTCCCCCGGCCTGCCTGCTGTGCCCGTCTCAGCATAGGGTGCCTTCGCTCACAACCACAATAACCCACGTTCCCCACGGTTCAGGGTCCAGCTGTCCCACAGCGAAGACAACACGTCTTAGCAAAGACCACCTTTGCTTGGCCAGCCAGCAGGCCCAGACAGGAGCGCGTGGCCACGGAAATGTGACAGCCCCTGAGCAG